GCTTGGCATCCGCAGACCCGTGTTTCTTCCCCTTTATCTCATTTCCATCTCTTTATCAAATATTTTGTAATAGCTTATAGACTTTTCAGACTTGTGTTAGGATTGATAGATGCTCATGACTAGTGACACCCCGGTATCGGGCTGTGTTGGGTTGTTCTTCTGCAAATTTGTACTGTTGACTGCTTAAATTTTGGATTATGTATCATGTTTTAGACTTAAATCTCATTGTTAACTGCTTAAAAACTGAAATGGGTAAGTGTCGGTTGGCCTTGTCTTCACGAGAGACGACATCACGACCGGGTTTGGGTTTAGGCTCGTGACAGAATTGTTCTTCTAAATTCATTCTGATTGCCCTGAAAACCAAAAGCGACGATTTACATAAGTCATAATACACCGCACGGGGCTAGTCATTCCCGAGAACTGGTGAGCGAAGTGCAAAAGCTCAAAACGACCGGTCGGGTCGTTGCATTCTCCCCCACTTAAACATACGTTCGTCCTTGAACGTGCCCAAAGTTGTTCTGAAAACCATTGAATCGCTGTGTAACCTTACCATGTATATACCCGGGGGTGATCCCAGGTCACCCTATCTCATATAGGTCTGATAACACAATGCAACTGAAATTTCACAATCTAACCTAGCCCATAAACCTTAGAACCAAATTTCCACTTCTGAATTCATCCACAAGACCAGAATCTCACATCTATACACTGAATAGGCCCGAACAAGCTGTAATAAACCATACCTACCACCTCAGATACCATTACATGATATACCACATACTCAAACACTCGCAGCGATAACTTCTAATCACAGTAGTTGCCCAAAACAACCGAATACCAATATTACCTCTTATCAAATAAAGCCTCATTCCAAGACTTCCGTATACTCTCAATGATAACTGAAACACGCAGTAAGTCATAACCATTCCTCAGATCAAACATTCATGAAGCCACTTCTTCTTTGGCAAGGACCATAGCAACTTTCTGAGCTGAACCTCAATATTATCCTTCCAACATGCTGAAATCGAATCTGTTTGTATTCATTCTAGATCCCAACGATCTCATAACCCAACACAGCTACTCTGGTGACATGGCACATCAATACCATCTAAAGTCATAACTCGTGCAACCCGCACACCAATAAGCAACAATCTGAATGTACTAAATCATGAAAATGACTCGAATGAAAGAGTTGTATCGCAAGCTCACCAATACCACCACAACATAATGCTGAAAACCCATCACACGTCGTAGAACCAGAATACACGAATCTATCCCGCAGGATCATACCTCCACATAGCTTCGCTCTAATGCACGACCTCATCCAAACACTGGTCCAACATGAAACACCTCAAGTCACTATTCTCAAATCGACAACCACACGCAATTTGATGTCTAGAACCAAAACATATCATCACAACCACTGTGAAGCAATTGACATAACATTGCACAAACTCGAAAGGACATAACCGATATGACATCCGCCGAGCAATACTCAATACTCTTCCTGCTCGAATTCCACTAAGAGACCCCAATAAAATTGCACCACAAGTGCCTCTAACCAACAAATCCCAACGCCTCGCAACATGGAAAGGTAACTCATAGATCTCCCCAGATCACTAATAAGCTCAATAACAATTGAATTAACACATCCCTTAACCATACAATGCGGAGTCAACCAAGCCAACTCGATGTAGAACACACGTCCATATTGGCCTACCAATGAACCCCTTATCAAGGAGTTCCTGAAGCTGCTCCTTCAATTCCTTTAACTCCACCAGTGCCATACGATATGGTGCCTGGCACCAAATCAATACTGAATCAACAACCCTGTCCGACGACATGCCCGGCAGCAGGAAACACATCCGAAAATCCCTCACCACCGGAACTGAATCAATAGAAGAAGTCTCTGCCCTGACATCCATCACGAAGGCCAAATAAGAAAGACAACCATTCTCAAACATCCGCTAGGTCTTCAAAATGAAATCATCTTGCTGTGAACTTAATTCGTCGAACCTCGCCACTCAATCTGTGGCATCCCTAGCATAGCCAACGTCGCTGTCTTAGCGCAACAGTCCACAATAGCACAACATGGAGACCACCAATATGTACCCAATAACACATCAAAATCCACCATAAAAAGCAACAAAGATCCACTCGGGTCTCCAAATCTCCCATAGTTACCACACAAGACCGATATACGCGGTCCACAACTACGACCTAACCTGTCTATGAGAACTCCCAGTCTCTAAATCCATACAACATGCGAATCACCATATCCGATCCCATCTCCACTGTCTGAATATACAACACACCTCTAATACTCAATCATCCCATGAGAGGTACTCTTATAATTCTTCTGTGCCACCAAGCAAACTCGAAAATCAGCAGTCGATCCAACAAGAGAGTGCTGCAATACTAATGAAGTATCATCAACTCAATCACATCGCCCTTTCTAAAATTTATACCCTCATCAAGCCATACCAATCAGTGATCTCATTTATCTAGTCATCTGAAACTATCCATGCTACCCAAGAATTGTGACCTTCCTTTCAAAACAGAACCGTGACCTTACACATGCAAATCTCAATCCCACACAACATACTGCACATACCATATCATCCTAGGATAAACATGAGAACTTCATATCCCCATCCGAGCCACAAGCAACCACGTACTCAACTGGCTAAGAACTTTCCATTGATCCCAACTAGAAGAAAATCACTACACATCCCATGCTCCTCACGCTCACAGAAAATATATATCTCTAACCGTGGTAGGAACCATTGAGAACTCTCTGAATTCCATTCGCACAAAACTAAACTGTCAAGACTGAATCCTTCTAACTCAACCAAGCTATGCAGGCCACTAAGACCCAGGAGCATTGCCGTGAAACACTTGTATAAGCTACCTCATAAGCATCCAAAGAACTAATCATATCCTTACCATGCCGATCCGGCCTACTACCAAGCTATCCCATCTATCTGAGCTTCCTTCTGATTTACCTTCAACTTGATACTCCTTCTTACTATAACACCACAATTCCTCAAGCCAGACTCACCACACGAGACCCAAGCATAAAACCATACCGTCTAAGGCTTATAAGCCGTTGAATACTCTCTTAAATATTCCCAAAAGTACCACATTCAAAATACCTACCCTGAAGGGACTTCCTGCAAATCCAAAGTCGTTACCTTTACCTTCCTGATACTGATATATAGAATCACATAATTGGTATAGAAATGCCACAAGTCTTTATACCCTCCAATGCAAACCTCAGTTTCTAGCTAAACATACAACCTGGAAATCTCCAATTATTACATGTAAAATCTTGAACCCATTAGAACCATTCTCGAGAGTCATCCACTCTACTCAAACCGTAATTAGACCGATCAAACGGACCAGATGACATGTGCTCCATTAGCACTCTCACACCGTATAATGTAACCTCACCTTAATACAACCAAGCAACTTCCTGCTCTATGCACCGTACATCTTCTACCAATAACAACTCAAGTCCTTCCATGATTCTCATATACCCATAAAGCATAACATAACCTTTATTGAAATTTCTTTTACTCAAGCCATCCTCGGTCTCAACCTTCGTAAGCCATAACTGATTCACCCGTATGCCTCAAACTAGAACCAACATAGCACATAACCGTGCAATCAACTAATAAATAGCAGACTTCCCCGCTTGGCTCAAAGCCATAGATCAAAACACACAATAACTCATGATGCATATACTCTATTACTGCCATAATACCATAGTGAGATTAAACTCAATCCTTCATAAGCTCGTGAAACACAGACCATCTAGTACTTTAAATCTTCTGCAAATCTCGCATTCACCTTCGAATAAGTCAATCCCACTCTCTTAGGTGACCCAAATTCGAATGGCAACATATATATTTCACTGGTAACAGAGATATTCCAATAAACAACATAAAGGATCACGCAAACTTCTGAACACTCCGTAGGGGATAACCCACCTGCTTCGCGCCAAACTAACATCTCTTTATACCCTTTCACCGTCATAAACATTATGCAGTCACTTAATCTTCCTGAGTCTGAACTCATACCACAACATGAAATCTACTTCACTTCCCAACTAGGCAACATGAAAAGATCCTTCAACACGCCCACAACTCGGGCCATACATCAAATCGCGATGGAAATCAAGCACCGGATAGTTCTTACTACCCCCAAGTGATGACGTCCAAATCCACTACTAAAAAGTAAATGGACACGGTCGCATGCAATATAATATACTCAACTATGAGTCGAGGTCGAATCCCACAGAAAACAATATGTAGGCGATTAGGAATGTAAAAGAATTATCACTTGTTATGCAATGACAAACACTTAGAATTGATTTGAGAAAATATTTACACCTAAATACGAAAATGTAAACTAACCTAGAAAGCAAGTAAAATGATCACTGGCTACAAGTATGGATGCATCAGGAATTACACTCAAGTAACGATCCAATGTATTTCACGATTTTACAAATATGAGCGAGTTTATGTTAATTAGCCACGGATAATAATTCTTAATTAGCTTCTTCCGAAGACTAACAAGACTTCCTAATTGAATTATTCCTAACTCAATTAAGAGGAAAAGCACACCCGATATGGCTACAAGTAGTTCAATCTTATCCCTAGGTAGAATCTATAAAATGAGGGTTAAAACCTCAAGTTCTTGTTAATTAATCTTTCCCAACCCCAAATTATCTTTTCCAAAATTAATTCGGAGTTAATGGGCGAGTCCTAGGGTTAGCTAATCCCTTTGGAAACATTAAAGAACAAGAATAATTAACGAAACGACAACTCACTTCATAAATAAATGAAAATCATTCAATACATAAGTACAACAAGGTATTTAATCCACACTTTAACTATGAATATTTCCATAAACAAGATTCAAGTGTTGGAAATAAATACTACACACTTAAATATTCAATACAAAGCAAGAAAATGAAGAAATAAACATAAATGGGTAAGAAATCCTTAACCACAAGCTTGAAATCTTCAAAACCCAAGTGTGTGTGCAAAACCCTAGCTTCCACCTGTTCTCTCTAGTTCTAAGAACTGAAAATAAGTCAAAGATCCTCAAAATATCTGCTAGGTCGTGTATAAAAATAGTTTGAAGTTGAGAACATATGAAATGCCTGAATTGCCCAGGTCTGTTGACCGCACCTGCGGAAGAATCCTCGCAGGTGCGGCTCCCCAGATGCGGAGATCCCATCGCAGAAGCGAAATGTCAACTAAACTCTATCACCACAGATGTGGTTTACCCGGCGCAGATGCGCAACAGCATAAGCAGTAATCTAACCGCAGATGCAGTTTCTTGCAAGGTCAGACAACTTTGCAGAAGCGGGACTTTTCATGCAGAAGCAGGGTTATGAGACCAACCTTCCGCAGATGCGGAATCACATGGGAGTTTTGCATGGTTTTCACCCCTTTTGTTCAATTCCACTCCAATTGAATTCAAATCATTTCATGGCATCATTTACCTGAAAATCTAGCAATACACACCATAAACGACCTCATATTATAGTTAAAGGACATAAAAGCTAAAGAAAAGAGACTAGAATGAGTGGTAACATCACCACTCATCACCAAGCACGCCATTCTCATCTCATTCAAATCGTATGAACACATCTAGCAGTCACATCATACTCATCACATAGCCATCCAGCCATCACTTCCACTAATAGGGATACTACCGAAAACATGAATCCAAAAGCACGTACTCACATAATCAACGCCTCAGTGCTCAAGCTACAGGCAAAACTCGGCCTCAAGTCCTCCATACTGGCCCAACATCAAGACACATAAATCATATCTCACCCCTCGATCAGGAAATCACAAGCCGTTGATGCACAACTGATATCGAGCGCTCATGCGCGTGTACGAACGCATGGAAGGAATTCAAAGAGTTACATTTCAAGCTGAATCAAGGATGCACGATAAGAATTCAAGAATGTGAAGTTTTTCCTAAAGGTTTTGCAGCCTCCCGAGGATAAGTACAGACGTCTCCGTACCGATCCGCGAGACTCTACTAAACCTGCTCATGACTCGTGAGACCTATAAAACCTAGGCTTTGATGCCAACTTGTCATGACCCTAAAAGTAACCCGGTCGTGATGGCACCTATCGTGAAACTAGGCCAGCCGACACAACTCCCGAATTAACTATTTAATTAATAATAATCATTTTTAAGCCTTTAATTAATCAGATATCTCATAATGTAAGTCTAAATGATTAGTGCGGAATAAATACATAAGCCCAACATCGCGGTCTCACAAGTCACGAGCATCAACTAAGGTCTGAATACAACAAAAAATTCTGAAAATGTACTAAATACAGTCTAATGAAAACAAGAGGGAGAAAAGCAGTGATGCGGACGTCGGGCAGCTACCTTTCTAACTCCGATGACTCTACCACTGAACAATCAACACCTGCTACCGGGTTCTGAAATACCTGAATCTGCTCACAAGGTGCAGGGAGTAATGTGAGTACTCCAACTAAATAAGTAATAAAGGTAAATGAAAGTTGAGCAGTAAGAAAATACGTAAGCCACGTCAAACGCTACAACAAATGCAGGATATTTCCAACACAGTACAGAAATCATTTACTTCATAAATCATGCTCAGTTTTGGTAAAACCTTTTAAAACAAATTTTCAATAGTTTCAAACGAGTGAAAAAATAGTGAGTAAACATGATAGAAATGTAAACAGCCCCTCGGGCAAAACATGTACCATAAACCGCCCCTCGGGCATAATATTAACAGAACCAGCCCCTCGGGCTACCTCACAATCACTCGTAATCAGCCCCTCGGGCATAACATAAATCAAGAACCTCCCCTCAGGCAATAAAATAGAACAACATCAGCCCCTCGGGCTATACCACATCTCACACTATGTACCCGCGCTCACTGGGGGTGTACAGACTCCAGGAGGGGCCCCGTAGGACTCAAGCGCAATAACAAGCCATCTCATGGCATAATCAATATATCACTCACTCAGGGTACCCGCGCTCACTAGGGGTGTACAGACTCTGGGAGGGCCCCTTACGGCCCAAGCGCAATAACAAGCCATCTCATGGCATAATCAAACAGGCTCTCAGCCTCATATCAAGCCACCTCGTGGCGTAACAAATCAGGCCTTCGGCCTCATAATCTTAAATCAGTACCACACTGATGTGGCGCGCATCCCGATCCCATAATATCCTCACAACATAGGCCCTCGACCTCACTTAGTCAGAAATCTCTCAAAGCCACTTGGGCATAATAAAACATGATGCTCAGCCCAAAATATTATTTCAAATGTCAAAACAGAGTAAATATGGCTGAGTTATGTAAACAGTAGAATACAGCATGACTGAGAGCAAATATGAAGTCAAAACAGTGAGGAATAGTAGTAAAAATCCCCTAAGGGTCCAAAACAGTTGGCACGAGGCCCAAATATGGCATTCAGCCCAAAAAATGATGATAGCAAACAGTTTTCAATCAAATATGCGGTTAAACAGTCATACGGGACGGACTAAGTCACAATCCCCAACGGTGCACGCCCCCACGCTTGTCATCTAGCGTGTGCGTCACCTCAATATAGCACAAAGATGTGAAAATTCGGGGTTTCATACCCTCAGGACAAATATTTACAATCATTACTTACCTCGATCTGGTCCAAACTCTAGCCCGTGATGCCTTTGCCTCTCAACTCGGCCTCCGAATTTTCCAAATCTAGCCAAAAGCAGATTCATACCATCAAAATATGCTAAGGAAATAAAGCCCACTCGAAAATAACCAATTTATAGCAAAAATCCTGAAATTGGCCAAACTCGACCCACGAGACCACGTCTCGGAATCCAATAAAAATTAAATCAATAAAATCCATATCCTCTCACGAGTCCATACATACCAAGAACATCAAAATCGAACATCAAATGGCCCCTCAAATCCCCAATTTATACTTTTCCAATTTCAAGCCCTTTCCTAATTTTAGGCTTTAATTTCCACAAATTTCATGTTTAAACAAGTAAGAATCAACATAGGATAGAGTATTGAGTTCAAAAATCTTACCTCCAAGTGTTTCCCTTTGATTCCCTCTTCAATCCTACTCAAAAAGCTCCAAAATCGCTCAAAAATGGTGAAAGATAGACCAAAAATCGCGAACATGGCTATTTAAACATTCTGCTGAAGCCAAAAATTCCTTCTTCGCGAACGCTGTAAAAGCCTCGCGTTCGCGAAGAAAAAATAATTCAGAGCTCAAATTTCCTCTTACACGAACGCGAACACTACCCTCGCGAACGCGATGCCTTACTCAGCTCAGCCTACACGAACACGTTTCTTCAGTCGCAAATGCGATGCTTTAGGGCCAGGTGCCCAAGTCTGCTTCACCCTTCTACGTGAACGCGAACCATGCCACGCGTTCGCGATGCACAATTAGACTCAACCTTCACGAATGCGGGACCAACATCGCGAACGCGAAGGGTAACTGGCCTGACTCACTCAACATCTCTTCGCGAACGCGAGGGCCCTCTCGCGAACACGAAGAGCAAAACTCTGCAACACTGATCTGAAGAAATCTGCAACTTTCAAAACAAGAATTTGATCCGTTTAACCACCTGAAACTCACCCGAGGCTCTCGGGACCTCAACCAAATATGCCAACATATCTCATATCATCATTCAAACTTGATCCAACCTTCGGGACGCTCAAACCAACATCAAAACACTAAGATCACATCGGATTCAAGCATAAGAATTCCAAAAACTTCTGAATTCTGAATTCGATCAAAAGGTCTATCAAACCTCGTCCGAATGACCTGAAATTTTGCCCATGCGTCACAAATAACACAACGGACCTACTCCAACTTCCGGAATTCCATTCCGACCCCTATATTAAAATCTCACCTATCAACTGAAAAATGCCAAAAAGCCCATTTCGCCAATTCAACCCTTAACCTTCCACGGACCTCCAAAATACATTCCGATCATGCTCCTAAGTCCTAAATCACCTAACGGAGCTAACAAAATCATAAAAATTCCAATCCGAGATCATATACTAACAAGTCAAAACTTGGTCAACCTTTCAAATTTTAAGCTTCAGACTGAGAACTGTTCTTCCAAATTCATTCTGATTACCCTGAAAACCAAAATCGACGATTTATATAAGTCATAATACACCGCACGGTGCTAGTCATGCCCGAGAACTAGCGAGCGAAGTGCTAAAGCTCAAAACGACCGGTCGGGTCGTTACATTTTTTGTATTTTGTATAACTATTGTAAGTTATATTAATATAAAGAATAAAATGAAGATGGGAAAAATTGCACTTATAAATTGCAAGTGCTACATTTATTTCAAAATTACAAATGGATGTTTGCATTTAACAAGTAAATTAACGGAAAAAAAAGTAAAACTAAATTTTCATGCATAACAATACTTCAAATTAATCTAACAAACTAAAACATTAAGCATAAATACGTATAATAATTTTAAAATAACACAAATTGTCTCAAATCAACTTAAATACGAATTTTTAGAGGACGCTCAAGACAACTCTTCATATGCCTCCCTAAACAGCCTGTGCCACACTTTGGACGAAGATTTAAGACTCGACCACAATTCTTGCACTTTACTTTGTGAACTTCATTTTTTTCTACCACCTCAAAGTGTTCCCAAACATATGAGCGCACTCTAGAAGTACGGAGCATGATTTAACTTGAATTGAGAAATTGAGATTGAGAAATGAGAGTGAGTGAAGAAATAAGAAGAGAGGGGGTGTATTTATAGTTTTACAAAAGGGTTAAATTTGTAATTACAAAAAGTGTTAATTTTTTGAAAATAAATCCCAAAAAAGGGCTAATTGTGCAAATCAGCCGTTGGGCAACGACTCCTTGGTAGGTGACTGTTGCCAATGGTAACCAAATAAGCCAATCAACAATTTTAAAAAAAAGAAATTAGTCGTTAACCGGTCTGGGTCGGGCTGGTCTGGTCTGGGCCAGGCCAGTTTAACTGGTTCTATAGTATTTCTGATGATCGGGTTTGACCGGTCCGAGTAACCGGTTAAAAATAGGTGAACGGATTAAACCCCCTACCCCTCTAACCCAACCCCACCCGGCTCCCTTGTACCGGTCCGGGCCGGTTCTGATTTTAACCAGTCTAGGCCGGTCCAGTTACGGTTAAACCTGGCTTGTTAGACACCATTAATTAGGCCCAAGCATGTAGTAAAAATCAGATAATAAATAAAAGCCAAATATAACAATTATTCTAAGCTCGAATTCTTGAACCCTGAACCAGAGATTCTGGGTTCTTGTCCCCAGCAGAGTTGCCAGAGCTGTCACACCTCCTTTTTCTACCCGAAAGGGGTATATAAGGGAGTTTTTCCAATTAAAGTGACAAAACCGAAACGGAATTATTTATTCAAAATCAGAGTCGCCACTTGGGATAATTTATAGTGTCCCAAATCACCGGTTTAAAATCTCAAATCGAGGAAGATTGACTCTATTTATGGTCCGCAAAATATAGAAATTCGGGTAAGGAATTTTGTTAACCCGGGAGAAGGTGTTAGGCATTCCCGAGTTCCGTGATTTTAGCATGGTTGCTCAACTATTAATAATTGGTCTCTTTATCTGATTTATTACATTTTTTATACCTATTGTGCATTTTTAACCTTTTAACCGCTTTTATTTATTTATTTATGAAATTATTCTGGAACAAGTTACGATTGTCGTACACTTGTATGTTTTGTACACATTGTGAATTGTGTCACGGGAACCGTACCCATGATATATAACATATTTAATTTATTAATGGTTCGAAGTTGTGGTCGGGTCACATAAAATGTGCACCCGGATTTGAGAATTACATATCACAACTACGTCACGGAAACCGTACTCGTAGTTATGATGATTTATTATAACGCGCCTAAAGCAAACTACGAAATTCATGGTTATTCTTAAAACTAATTTGAGATTTATTGTGAGGTTATGAATTAGGGATATGAAATATAGAAAAATGGGTCAACTTAACAGAGCACTAAATCCATAAGATTTAATTGAAAAAACAATCGGCACCAAATTCCATTCACGTCTTCATTTTTGTAAATTGCTCAAATCTAATTCCCACATCATTAGCGAACAGTGTTAAACTGGCTACTTTACAATCGGAACTAATATTGAAAAGATATTCTTTATTTTTATTAATTCAAACAAACAACTTTGCCTACACATTTTCTTTCCAAGACTACTATTGCAATGAATATATGCGGGACAAAAAGTAAAAGACTGCATTTAAATTCAATCACTAGAAAAGAGACTCAAGCATTTGCGAAACCACTGGAATCAATATATGCACAGAAGTTCAATTCAAACAAGATTACATAATCAAATGAATGAATATTAAGATGCTGAAGATAACAACTCTTAACATAATTACCAGCATAATTCATTTTCCTTAATTATAGTATCCAAGATCATATAGCTTCGAAGACTAAGGCCAAAATACTGAATTCAGGAAAATCTTTACTTAAATTAAGTGAAACTATATCAAGTAAATATGAAAACCTTTATATTAAGTCAAAACAAAACTTACCAAACTTCAGCTATATCAAGATCATAACCCTCGCGCTTTCCAACTCCGGCGAATTCAGAGGCTTATTTGTCCCCGTCCTCCGGTAAGATGGGTGTTAAAGCAATTAAGAAAGCAATTACCAAGTTATTGAAGAAGGGCGCAAGCGATTTTTCTGCTTTTAAACCTTGGACTACCTCACCCGGACAATCTCGAAATTCGCCGGGAAGTTTAAAAAATAGTCGATCTAAAATTCCGGCGAGAATCAGAAAATCGCACACACACGCCGCTATTTTCACGGCGACGAGCAGTGGTTTGAGCTACTGTTTTCACGTTCTTAGAGCTGGTTTTACAGCTTTCATGGTTGAAGAAGGCTGAAGTTTTTTGTGGTTTAACAAAAAACAGAGATGGATTGAAACTCGCATCTCTTTGTTCTCTATTTGTAAACCCTTTTCTCGCTCTGTATTTTTTGTTTTCTTTCTAAATCTATCTTCTATCCCCCCCTCTTTGTTATGTTTCAGCTATTTTGAATGTTTGGAAATTGGCAACGGCTGATGGTTTGGTGGAGATGGTCGTTCTAGGGTGGTCGACTGCCAAAGATTTTGTAGGAAAGGGTTGGGTTTCGGCTGTTTGGGTTTGGCCGGAGGGGAAGTGGCGTTAGGGTGTCTGAAGGTTGAAGAAGAAAGGTGGAGATGGCTGATGGAGCTCTGTTCTTCGCTGGTTCAAGAAGGAGCGTATGCGGCTGATTTCTCAGGGATCCTCTAGGTTAGGGGCCTAGGTGTGTTAGGTTGAGGAAGATGATGGTCTTAGGGTTTTTTTTGGTTCCAGATCATGAGAAACGGCTCCCTTAGATGTGTTAGGTTTTTTTTAGGTTGTGTCTAGGTCTTGAAAATGTGTGTTAGGGTGTATAAGAAGAAGGGGAGTTGGTCTTAGGGTTTGGGCTTTAAAATTGGGTCATCTCTTTGGACCTCTTCAATTAAGACCAAACAACATTAGCCTCAAATTTCATACTCTTTCTTTTAAAACAAGACTAAAAATACTACACCATTTACTAATTAATCCTACTTAAGTAGAATAACTATTAAAATAAAATTAACCATTAAAACAAACTTATTTTTTTTGTATTTTTTAAATATCATACTAAAAGATAAAAATGGAAAAATCATTGTAAAATTAAATTAATATTCCTGAAAATAAAGTGGAACTATTTTTGCATTTTTGAATTTTATGTAACGTAGATAAATTAAAAGTAACTAGATAAAATATTAATTAGCTAAATAAAAGAAAATATTTTTGTAATTTTTATTTTTGTGATAAAATAAATTAAAATAATCAAAATTATTTAGAATAGCGATACTAAACCTAAACTAAATATTTTACGCTAAAAATGTGTAAAATCTTGGGGAGAGTAAAAAATTACATGTCTATACTCCTAAGTCCAAATCACTATACGAACCTATTGCAACCATCAAAATACGAATCCGAGATTGTTAGCACAAAAGTCAAACCTTAGTCAACTATTATGACTCAAGCTTCCAACAATGGAACTATGTGTACCAATTTACTGCAAAACCTTCCCGGAATCAAACCAACCATCTCCGCAAGTTACAGAATAACAACTGAGCACAAGGAAAGTATCAAATGGGAAAACGGGGCTCAAATGTACAAAACGACCGGCCGATTCATTACAGGAATATATACTATTTAACCATGGGTTGGGTATAGTATTTATTATAAAATAATTATTTACTCAATTTTAATAAAAAATTTAATAGATCATGTATTCTCTGTGTCCATTACTTATATAGTATATGCTTTAGCGCATAGAATTTAGCTTATACACGGAAGATTAAATTATCAGTTCTTATAAGTATAAAATTTGAGTTCAGTATCTAATGATGGAGCTGGACAGAATGTTATGATTCAAAACCCTCATTGATCGTGATGGCGCCTAAACCACTTGATAGGCAAGCCAAACATAAAATAATTGCATAAGAACAATAATAATATAGAAATTAACGAATCTAAGAGTCGAATAGAATAGATGAATAATAACAAATACAGCAATTCCCCAGAAACTGGTAACACTGAGTCATGAGCTCTAACATATAAATACAAGTCTGATACTACAATACACTGTCTAAATCAAATATAATAGTAAAATGATAGAACGAGACGCTAGGGACTATGATTAGGGTGCAACTCTACCTCGAGTCTCCACAGCAATAATCACAAATCCAGTTCTGTGGCCATGAGTCACATGATACTCACACCATAAGTTAGGATCCCTTTGGCTGGGATTGGATCTGATCGGCCTCGGGAATCATGCCACTTTTATATTCCTCATCATCGATACCAACTCCATGACACTAATGTTGAAATTGTAATTTGACAACTTGGGATAAGTGGAATCCCTAATACCTCTTTGTCTTGCAAAGGTCTGTTATTTGAGGAGCGGAACTGTCATACCCCAAACCTGGGGAGGCATAGGTGGCACTCGGTGACGTACTGGTTCGAGCGAACCACTCTACAAGTCATAATCATTCGACGAAAACAAGAACATACATAGGCCGACTTGCTTGGACTGATTCTTTCTGTAACTATCATGGGACAATATAGCCCCAACTCGCATTGTGTAATTGTAGGTGGGAAAATACTGTATCAACGAGCTTACTCAAAACATGAATACACACAGACCGTCAAGGCCTCTAATATGTTGTACATATCGAACTTGTGTCTATAAAGCCTCTAAGGGTATCTAACATCAAAATATGGTCAGGACAGGACACTGTCCTACCCATAAGTGTATATATACAATGGATAGTCCAATAACCTCTAGACTTGGTTGTAATCTAGATAAAATGGAGCTTTGCCAATCCTCAGTTGAGTATCAACTCCGGCTATGACAAGAGCCGTCAAACTTGATACCTGAACCTGCAGGCATGAATGAAGTGCCCCGATAGTAGGACATTAGTACAGAGAAATGTACTAAGTATGTAAGGCAGATAATATATGAATAACTTAACTGAAACTGAACTAACATGTATATATAATATACTGAAAGAAATCTGGAGGGTCAATGAGATCCGGAAATCATACTTACCTTATTCTGACTTGTAACATATCTAAGTATTGAATTATCCAACTTACCTTGCAAAGGATGTAGACTGAAAAAGGAAGGCCTTGTTGGTCGAGAAAATCTAATGTCATATATACATCTAATTCGTGTCATGATATACCTAAACTTGTTCCCCTATGCTATCTGTAATGGAAACCATCATATTATGGAACTTCATCCATAACATTCTTCTAGCCATCATACCTTATATCTTAATACTTACCTCAGAAAAATCAAACATCTCTAGGGCTATATTGAAATATAAAAGTGACACTTACGCATTCCAAAAGAGGCCGACTGTAAGGCTCATTCATAAACATGAACAACTAATGGCTCGTACGCATAACATAGTAGACCGTCCGTACGACTCATAGGTCTGGCTATGCGTGCAACTGAGACCATCCATCACCAACCTTCATTATGCACCTATGCGTTCATAGACCGTCCATAGGGCTCCAATGTACACCTACGCGTTCACAGACCGTTCGTAGGGATCATGTCTTATACATATTCATTTCATATCACTCATGTAGACATCATTCAATCATCAATAGATAAACTCGTATTCATAAACGTACAAGTTCGTGAGTAACTCGTTACAATAACTAATCCTTATTCGTTAGCCACTTCCTACGTCATCCTTCGTATTCTATATTATTTATCCATAAAGAATGTTGCAACTATTTTGAAATCGCACTTCTATCCTTATTTCACATCATGGCTCATTGCTGGGGATTACATGATTCTTTGTACTTATAGCTATGTAATACTTTAGCGTATGAGGCTAATCGCTATACATACATATATCCATTCATCAATACGTAACAAGAGTTGTGGGATTTACGCTCTATCAACATATATTCTTATTGCTAAGCTTGTATTTTGTAGTTTACGACTCCTTAGGTAATGTATATTATCTCTTAACATCACCCTCATATATAATTAACCTTACTTAACTTGAGAGCAACACAACTACCTTCCTATGTCTTTATCAGTTTTGTGAACACAAACGTGTAAGTATTGGAAGTCATGGAATTCTTTAGGTCGAATCATTCTTATCTTTCTTCAACTATACATTATGCTACCACGTTAAACTATTTGTGTATAACTATCCCTTATTATACACACTCTATATTGTTTCGAATTTCAGACCATTCGTGTGGCAAACTCGGTTTGTGACTAAACAACTATAGTTTTAAACCCCTTCTTCCTCCAAGAATTTATCAACAACAATGACCTCCACTTATTAAATTATCCCTACTAATTTAAGCCATAATACAACTTTAAAATGACCCTATAGCAGTCCAACAAGTTCAGCAACTCAAAATTGATTTTTCATATTACTAATACATGTTTCCGACTTGTTTCTTTTCTTTCAAATCGATCAAAACAACCAATAGTAAATAATTAAGCCTCTTCTCATATAAACCAGACATGAATTCAACTTAAAAATAAGTTCACAACTAGCCAGTAGTTACAGCAACAACAAACAACGTACTACTCTTTCAAAACTCGCAAGTTCTAGTCTTTACAATCGAGCTACAATTCGTAAAAGCTTAGATAAGGAAAAGAGAAACATAAACTAACCTTGGAATGAGTAGATCCCATGAAACCTAGTTCATCTTTATCTGAAATTTGTCTCCCAACGCAGCTACAAGAAGGAGAAAGGAAAAGTAGCAAGCTGTCCGGGATTTTCGGCACCAGAATCACTTCGTATCACCCGAAATCACCTAGGGTTTGTGTGGGATTTTTGGGGGAGGAGTTGCAGGGGTTTAATATGATATTATTGGTCTGAGAAATGAGTGAAATAAATGATTTAAATTATCCTTTAAAAGGCCCCTTGGACGCCCCTTTTTGGGGATTTATTTGGTCCCTTCATTTGAACAAGTAGGTGATGCACCTACTTGTTACCTAGCAGTCCGCACAGTCTCGCAAAAATATAAATATCTCTCTAGTCCAATGTCATATTGATGTAATCTATAATGTGTTGGAAACTGAATTGTAGGCCTTCGATCTGGTGGGAGGATCACCCCGTAACTCTAAGTGTATTGAGAGAATAACTCAGCTACATTTGACCTAATTTTCAGCACATTATGAGTGTGACTTGTGATGACCTATGCGAACTTTTGTTCCACAACTTGCTTTAATTCAAAGTGTAACACACGACTATCATACAACTGAAATAACTCATAACATAACCGCCTTATCATGTTCAGAACCTTAGTCTCACCCCAAAAGTACATGTTACAACATTCCCAACTTATCGACTTCCGACGAAACTTATTTTCTTCAATTCATTTAACTTTTGTGCCTTCCAACCCTCTTGGTACTTGTTATTAATGATCTTAAATATTTATAACCTCCACCGTAATATTATTAACTTACTTTATATACTTTCAAAAAGGATCTTATTTCCAAGATTACATCAACTGTTGCTACCTCTGTCATGTAGTCTGTATGAATCAACCTTTGTACCCGTGCCTATATGACTCTTCTCTTCCTTTTCCTCCAGCTTCTAGCAAATATTTAGGCCTCACTTTGCGAACCCATAGAGAACTATGCCAAGTTTTTCCTTTGGGCATCTATAGGCATACTGAAGTTCTTTGCTTGGTGCTTTGTCGAACTTACGTTTATTGCTATATTCTGTTTCATAGCCTTGGTTATCTATCCTTATGTCTTTACTACATCTAGGTAGGTCATAATATACTATAACACTTACTCCAGTTGTCATATTACCGAGCTCTGCTACCCAACTCCAGGTTACTCTCTCG